ATAATAATAATAATAAGAAGAAGAAGATGAAGAAGAAGAAGAAAGAGGCAGCTGATGAGCGAATAATAATAATAATAATAATAATAAAGTAATATCATACATAATAATGTGGATCCAAAAAGGAAGACAAAACCAAGAAACAAAGACCATCTAATCTCAGGATGATGCCTAAAAATAATATATAAAATCGTCACGATAATGGGGCAATACTTACACTGGACAATGCAAACACTTTGGAAAAAGAAGCAAACAAGAAGAACATCGGCCAGAAGGTTAGAAGAAATAGAAGATGTCACCATTCTATGGGATTATACCATCCACACAGACAGAAAAATTGAAGCAAAGAAGAAGAAAACCAGAAAGAAAAATATAAAAAATGGCTTGTCCAGCGGATTGCGATATACAAATAAGGAATTTAAAAACTATCAAAATACAAAGACCTGGAAATTGAAATAGAAAAAGAAATTGAAAACAAGAATAATACCAGTGGTAATAGGTGCACTTGGAATTATAAAAATGGAACAAAACAACACATTGAAAGAAAGAGAAACCCCAGCTTAAGAGTGATACAGAAAATTGTCTTATTAATACAGCACACAACTAAGGAGAACTTTGTCTATGTAATAGCAACTTCTCGGGAGACAATAAGAAGATCGGAAAAAAAAAAAAAAATTAAATGAAAGAAGAACAACCACGAAGCCTTAGGTCTTTCCGCAGACTTGGTAGGTAGTGTCCATAGCAGAAATAATAATAATAATAATAATAATAATAATAATAAGATATGGCTTGTCCAGCGGAAGAAGAAGAAGAATTTGAAAAAGAAAAACAAAACCTGGAAAGAAAAGAAAAATGTGGAAATTGAAAACAAGAAAATACCAGTGGAACTTGGAATTATAAAAATGGAACAAAACAACACATTGAAAGTGAAAATAAGACATACAGAAAATTAATAATAACAGCACATGAAGAAGGAGAACTTTGAAGAAGAAGAAGCAACTTCACCGGAGATAAAAAAAAAAAAAAAAAAAAAATTAACAAGAAGAAGAATAAGAAGAAGAAGACCTGCCTTAGGTCTTTCCGAAAGAGGCAGTAGGATGTGTCCATAATAGAAATCGAATGATGATGATGATGACAATAATAATAATAATAATAATATGAAGAAGAAGAAGAAGAAGAAGAAAGAGGCAGCGGATGAGCGAATAATAATAATAATAATAATAATAATAATAATTATAATAATAATATGAAGAAGAAGAAGAAAAAGAAGAAGAAAGAGGCAGCGGATGAGTGAATAATAATAATAATAATAATAATAATAAGAAGAAGAAGAAGAAGAAGAAGAAGAAGAAGAAGAAGGAAATGGAGGAGGGTATGTAGATTTAGGGAAAGAAGAGGATTAGTAACAGGAAGAAGTAACATTAGTCCTTCGAGAAAAAATAAACCGAAAATTATGAAAATAAGGAAGAAGAGAAAGAAGATACGATACAGAAAATTGGGGAAAAAGAAATGCACGATGAAGTGAATTTAGAAGAAATGATGAAAAAAGAAAAGAAAACAAAAGGAAACAGTAGAAAGGGCATAATATGTGATGAAAGACAACTTCAACAAAAAGAAGAAATGATGAAAGAAAAAATCAATAAAATCACCAGATAACTGTCTTGGAACGACAGAATTATCGTTCTACCAGTGAATAATCAAAATAACACATGCAGAACATGTGATGAGCTAGCAAGTAAATAGGAATCTGAGGTTAATATGAAAAGAGCATTGGAAAATTAAGGAACGTATTAAGAGACAGGATAAATTCATGGGTAAAAAAAATTGAGAGGATTGGAGATCTTACCGGACCCAATCTTACCAACATAAGATACGCAGATGACATAGTACTGATAACAGACACGGAAAAGAAACTACAAAACCTCCTATAAAATGTAGCGAGTTAGAGCGTGAAGAGACTATTCATTAACAATAAGAAGACAGAATGTATGGTAACCAGTAAATGGATGAGACTAAAATGCGTTTTGCAGGTCAGGGACAGTAAAAAACAAGCATGTGAGGAAATTTACATATCTCGGATGTGTTTTGACGGAGGACGGTAAGTGCGACGCTGAGATCCAAAGAGGTTTGGGATGGCCAAGATTGCATTCCAAAAACTGGGCAGAGTACTGCGCGACAGGAGGATTTCTTTGACGATAAAGAAACGAGTTCTGAGCTGCTACATGATATCTGCGAATGTTGGACGATCTCCTCAAAGATAATCGAGGTAGCGGAGATATGGTTCTACAGAAGGATGCTAAGGATATCATACAACCAGCGTGTGAGCAACACTCAGGTCTTGGAGAGAATGCAAAGAGGAAGCATATACTTAACATACGGAAGAGTCAGATGTAATTTCTGGGACATGTAATGAGAAAGGAGGGCCAGGAGAATCTGATACTCACAGGTCGGTTAGAGGGAAAAAGAAGCAATAAAAAAGAACGCATGGCATACCTAACGGGCTTGCGGATGGTAGAACGTGGTCTGGTGGAGTTGGCAGAGGCAAGAAATTTGTCGAGTACCACAAGGGATAGGGAGGAAGTGGAGAGCCATTATCGCCGATGTCCTGAAAGGACACGGCACATAAAAAGAAAGTATTGCGACGTTTGTTACGAATACGATGAACAGAGTAGAGATTTTCCAAGCGTAGCTTAGATATGGCACAAGGCCGAACGTATGGGGCACCCAGTGAGGATCGATCTCATTATTCATTCGTAATTGTGCTAGCGAGACAAGCTTGCTAACCATTACACCGCTCCGGGGTGCCTAACGATGAACAGAGTATGTAAGTAACGAGGGTACTTTTAGGAAAATGTGAACTACAAAGAAACTGCTGCTAACAGCCAGAAAGTAACAAATGCAATCTCTGGGCCATACGAGGCTTGGCTGAAAGCTGCATAGGCTGATTATGAAGAATTGATTCTGGAGCTTTGAAATCTTGCATGCATTCATTTCAATCTTATTAATGACTGCAGAGTTTATTTACAGTTAAACTGACATCTGGCTTTTCAAAGAATTCAAATGTTATTAGTAGTGATTGTTCATGAAAATGGCTAAAATTTGAATCGTGTTGTTATCAAGTACCTGCAGGAAAAAAGAAGTTTAACTCCCAAGGACATTCATGCTGACATGGTTGCTGCATTAGGTGATGACCTCCACACCAGATTTATTAACAATGCATAAGTGAGTAGCTGAATTTAGGAGGGGAAGGGAAATTTTTGAAGATGCCCATGGTCTGGACGTCCTGCAACTGCTACTACCGATGGAAACATTGATCGTGTTCGCCATATACCGATGGATTAGAAGCTATTGATCCTAAATCAAATAGGCAATACTATTATCATATTCTAAGAGAGAGAGAGAGAGTTGAGAATATTTTACACAATGAACTTGGCTTGACTAAGGTTTCTGCTCGGTAGGTGTAACGTCTTCTGAAATCTGACCAAAAACACGCAACTGATGACACCAGAGAGACATCTGACATTGTTTGAAGCAGATTCAACTGGTTTCCTTGCAGAAAGACGTGATAACACCACAATGCCAAATTTTCTCCATTTTCAAGAGAAATCTCTACTAGTTCATTTTGAAATCTTTGAAAGGTCAGATGATAGTTTAGCTGGAATGAAACAATCCAGTTATTAATTAGAACAGTTGAAATTAATGCATGCAAGATTTCACAGGTACTGCATCATCAGACTATGAACATTTCAGGCGAGCCTTTTACAATGGGCAAAGTTAGCTGTGAGTCTAACACTCACATGCCATAATGAGGACACGAAAATCAAGGTGAAAGATCGAGAAAATTCGAGCTAATGGTAGAACAGGACTAAGATTGATAGTGATAAGCAAAATTTACTTCGAGCTATAAAAGCAGGGAATTGTGGCGAGCTCTTATCTGCAGTAAACTGACGGTAATATTAACGTATCCAAAGAAGATATTGCCTGGAAAAGGTTTGTTTTCAGTGTCCTGGTTATTTGTAAAGATATAAATTAACGAATGAGGCCAACAAAGAAGGAAGAGATAATGTTGCTAGATCAAATAATCAGTTTCTAGATATTATATCTTTTTTTACTCTAGTTATCTAATTTTCGTAATTGTCTAACAATAGACACAAATTAAGGATGTTTTAGCACATCTTTTGCCTGCAGAATTAGCCGAGAGCCAAACTAAATATCATACGACAAATGTAACATTTTTAAAATTAAATTCATATATTCTTTTTTATTACTGTTGGAATTACAATAATTATAAAGGTATAAATATAATAAATGCAGATGATTATATATATATGTTCTAGAAATTAACATAAATATCAAATCTAATCTTTGTTTTAAATTCTTACAATAATTCCTGCTTAGATTATTTTACGGATTACAAAAGGGTGTTCCAATAACTTGAACCAATTTTAAATGTGAATTAACTTTAATCGACTAATGATTTTTTTTTCTTTTTCTTTCAGATTTAACAACTTAAGTCTTTGGCAATTTCAAGAAATGAAGGAATAACAATCAAACAACGTGTTAAATTTATCGAAGCTTATTACGAACCTGGATGTTCAAACAGAAATGCAATGAGAAGTACCCAGTTCGCATCTTCTCTCTAAACAGTGAAGTCAATTGGCCACCACAATCGTGCGACTTGTCGCCTTTAGATTTCTTCCTTTGGGGGTCATCTCAAAAGTAAGCCAACAACAATTCAACAGCTGAAGGATGAGATAATAATGCATATTGGTGAGATCGAGGAGCAACTATGCGAGACGTCGTCAAAAATTTGGACCATCGATTGGATGCGTGCTGTCGAAGCCTTGGCGGACATTTGGGCGATATTATTTTTCACACATAATAGCCATGACTTAAATAACATGATCCAATAGAGAAATCAATAAATTTTCACAAATAACACTGATTCATTTATCGCTGACTTTGATCCGTCTTAATGAAACACCCTTTATATCATATCAGTTTATGGCCATACAACGTTGAAACAACGGTTCACGTCCGATCACCGAAGTTAAGTTACGTCGAGCCTGGTCAGCATCTGTATGCGTGATCGCTTGGGAATATAAGTAGCTCGTATATGTAGAAGTAGGTGTAATGGATAACCGCTCCGAATGAGAAAGCGTAGAGCCGAGTTCGAATTCCAGCGCCGTTCGTTACATATATTTACGTGCAAAAATATTGGGAAATTTCTGAATCGATCACTTCTCACCCCAATTACAAGTTTAATAGCATGACAGACTGCGTCATATAAACTTGATTGGCAACCAGTCTAATACAGACAGTAACGGTTGCGTCCTGCAGGATCTTGAATAGAGAACTGATTTTGCATGCATTTATTGCGTACGGTACTCCATAACTATTTTTGTATGGATGTTAATCGTTTTTTACAATGAAATTGGTATAAACCAAGATAAAATATCAAACCTTTCCAGGATATATCTATATGAGTAATATGTAAGTTTCAGCTTATAATATTATGAAAATATTATATATTATATTAATTAGAATTAAAATAATAATTTTCACGATAGATTTTATAGAAGAAAAGCATTACGTGAGTTGAGATGATAACGTCTATAATGATTATAAATATACTAATTTATTTTCAAATTTTATTATGGCGAAAATATAATTGCCACATAAATTTTTATTTAGAAATATGTTTAAGCATATGGAATCAGTAAAGGTAATGTTTAGCCGAGAGAGAAAAGAAAAACTGGTTGTAAGATTCAACAGACTGTGAAAAAAAAAAGAGGCCAAATAAGTTGATGCTCTAATTACAGTTGACAAACTTCTCACTATTGCAAAAATTTGTGATTTATGACACTTTTGTATACATTTTGTTCTGCTTTACGAACAAGTAATCTTCAAAACTATTGTAATTAAAGAACATGACTTAAATGAACTTCATACAATGCTTCTATGACTACTGTATGAATAAAATATATCAGTAGATAAGAGAAAATATGCGACTTAATTTTGCATTACCTGCAGCCGTGTATTTTACAGTTTTCGAAACATAATAGAATTCTATTTTATGATATCTTGAAATGTTTGGAACAAGTGACCAGGCAAGGAAAAGGTCTCATTCTTCGAGATGTATTCAAAACAAGGAATTAAATGTTCTATTTAACCCGAATATTTAACAGTAGAGGCAAAATACACATATGTATACAAGGAGGTATGTTTAGTAATGTTTGGCGGACGTAAAAAGAACTCGAAATGATTTCGAAAAAGGGCCGTGGCGTTCGCTACATATACGTTTTCACGAAAGTCTTTGGGAAAGACATGCATACGTTTTTTTCTCGTTTCATCTACGCGTTAAATATCTTGCTTTCCTAAATCTGGTAAACACGCCAAAAGAAGTAAAATGGTGAATTCCAAAAGAAACTGAAAAACACACTGTTAATGGTAAGCTTGTAGAATATGGGCTGACACTTTGATTCTAAGGGCTTACAGGACTAGAGAAAATTTATTGATCTGATGAGATTAATAGAAACAACCGGACACATATTATTAACAAAAAAGGAAACATGCGCACATGCCCTGTCACACGAACATGTACATACACGCATATATATATATATATATATATATATATATATATATATATATATAAACACGCATAGTTTGTCTATATTTCTGAGATGAGGTATTATGTACAGTATTTACATTAGTCGGACTATTGTCCTCATCTTTGTCGCCATATTTGTCACAACGTTTCGGCCGTTGTACGCTCCGGCCTTCTTCAGGTGGTTGGAATTTCGAAGGACACATGGCACAGTGGATAAAGGCGTTGGTTAGATCCAGTGACAGACCCAAAGAAGGTGAGTTCAATTCCTGGTTAAGGCAGTGGAGAACTTTCAGAGGGAAAATTAGCAGGAGATAACTGATAACTGACATCCATCAAACATGGCACGTGGAATTAGGAACAGTCTACCCCAGCGATCGAAATAAAGGGTTCAGTTCGAAATTCCAACCACCTAAAGAAGGCCGGAGCGTACAACGGCCGAAACGTTGTGACAAATATGGCGACAAAGATGAGGACAATAGTCCGACTAATGTAAATACTGTATAAACATTTATATATATATATATATATATATATATATATATATATATATATATATATATATATATATATGTGTGTGTGTGTGTGTGGTGAAATGATATCGGCTCGACAAGGAAGACTTTCCTGACAAGAAATCTTTTGTTTGAAAATACTGTAAATTGGTTCTCACCGAGAAAATTTAAGCATTCTCTCGTTCTTATCTATCTATATACCTATCTATCTATCTATCTAGCTAGCTACCTAGCTAGCTAGCTAGCTAGGCTAGCTACCTAGCTAGCTAGCTCGCTCGCTCGTCTAAATTGTTCTTTATATTTGTAGGAAAAGTGATATTTTCAGGGGATAAAACGCCCGCTGCTATAAACAGTGTGGACATATGAATCAATATTGTGAGTTTTAATACTCTTTTGATCTCTCTCTCTCTCTCTCTCTCTCTCTTATATATATATATATATATATATATATATATATATAAATGCTTGTATCTATATATATATATATATATATATATATATATATATATATATAAATTACAAGAATTACATCTGCTTATTTTTAGCATTATCCTTATATATTCCAGAATATGGATAATTTTTTCACGTTCTTAATGAGCGCTAAAGCATCAATGTCAGCCGTTGCATTTAAACGCAAAAAGAAAAAAAAAAAACTCAGTTTAGTTTTTGCCTTATCACTTGCACCTCTGATGATGATCTCAGAAAGAGATGGAAAGTACTTGGAAAATAAAAGTGATTTTTACTGTTGCAGTGCATTTTTTGCATCATTTACCTGTGATACACAGAAAAAAAACATTCGTGAATATGAAAGGATTATACTACCAATAAGCAAACATAATTTATTTAATGAGACATGCTTACAAGAGAATTTGCTGCCTAAATACACAAAATATATATATATATATATATATATATATATATATATATATATATATATATATATATATATGGAAAAGGTTATAGTTATTCCAAGGAGAGAAAATTTATAATTTAAAAAAAAGAATGAAACCGTAAACGTTTTTGGTTATAATGTGGATTTATATAAGTATAAATGTTATATTTTATTCTTCATATTTCTGCTACACGAGTTTCCGATCTCATGTCCTTCTTCCGGCAAATAAATGAAATACATTTGTAAAAGGAATACATTTTCCTTATGTTCATTTAATGTCTCATTGGGCATTTTCCGTATTTGTTAGTGAGAATTGAACTTATTTCTGGACTATTGACAAAAGTGAATTTCTGCCTAAGTGGTAATAAAATCCTTAGGCTTAGTATGCGATGTGTTGATGACAGATATGTTGATGAGATATATCTTCCTATCCCTGTGTGCGTGCTTGTTACTGTTAGCATGCATATGTATATTCTATCCCCATATATACATACTGTCTTATAATAAGGAAACAGCATATACACATATGTATATGTATATACATACACACACACATACATACTCATATATATACATATATATATATATATATAAAAATATATATATGTTCATACTCTACTGAATAATTGCATTAACATGACTATTTCTTGCTCTATAAATCAGTAGTAAATATTATTATATATTATCATATGAATATTATCACATAAATAATATCCTATTAATATTATCATATAAATATTATCATATAAATAGAATGCTATACAGTGATACTTTCAGATTGAATTTCAGCCCATATTTCAGATATATTTATCCAATATCGTATCTAAGCAACGTCTCTCACACACACACACACACACACACACACACACACACACACACACACACACTTTTGATCCCTAAATAAGGAAGCCTACGCTTTGTAAAATTCTTTGCCATCAGTGGTGGGATGCATAATTTGATTACTTATCCTTCATAATCTATTAATCACTCTTTTCTAATGCATGCCAAATCAAATAATTTTGTTAACCCGAAAGTATATCGCCTTTGTATATTTTCTTTCCCATTGTTTCTTTAACGTTTGTATAATGACTGATACAAAAAATGTGTTGATTAGGGATTCTTTCCATCTACAATTTCATATCTATCTCTTCTTCAAAATACAAAAGCATTGCGATTTCGCAGCGTCAGGTCATTTGGGAGGTCCCTTTGATGTTCCGGTCTGATATAATTTTAAACGCTCTGCTTCGTTTACGGTATTGTTCGCATCAGAACGGAATGAATCACGTGGAATCTAACGGACGTCAAATAACTCTCGTCTACGCTTTGGCTCCCACCGCCTAGCCCAGCATACCACAATCGTCACAATGAGACACGATCTAGTCTTTGATATTTATCATATCAAGCCGCCGCTACGTACTGCCTGAAAAGAGTGTACAGTAGAAAAATTACCTTTTACTGACATAAGATTTTACGACTAACTCAGGGAACAGTGTTCGAGCAATATATATATATATATATATATATATATATATATATATATATATATATATATATATATATATATGTATATATTAGTGATTTCATCTGATATCCGTAGTATAAGACGACCGTAAACGTAGGCTATCCTCCGTTTAGCAGTTAGGCCTATCAGAATGATTCATATTTTAGGCACATCTGAATGATTCATAAGTTAGGCATGCACCAGATTAAACAAGGAGACCGTCCAGAAGAGATGCAGGAGATTCCGAAGTTATTTGGAGGCCGGGGTTGAAACTAATGGCGTTTTTATTGAATAAATTTACTCGTTAACATTTTTCTTTGAAAATTTTTTGAAAATTTTGGTAAGAAAGAAATATCTCTTAAAATGAGATGCCAGTGTTATTTTGATTTTTGCTAATTTAAACGACAATTTATCCATCGCACCCTGTATTTATAAAGCTTATTTCATGAGTTGTTGCACTTTTTTCTTTTCCTGAAAGAGTGAAATCAATAACAACCAGCCTATATCGAGGAGTGCTATTAATGAAAAAAAAAAAAAAAATGCCTCCCGAAATGAATCGAAACTATGTTTTTTTTCAACAAGCAAACCGCTCCT